AACAACAAGGAATTCAGCAGGCGCAACGAGCCACATGATGATGAACGTATTTGAAAATTTCGTTAGCCGGTTATTGATTTTAAGCTAATGCGGCAGCGACCAACCTAAATAAAAGCCGGTCCAGGCCATAGATACACTGATATCCAGAGACAATGAACTGTTGTTGTTTGTTATGCTTGCTACTCACTGCTTATTCGGGGGCAGCGTCACGCCCACACACACACGCACACGCACACGCCCACACGCACACAGACAGACGTAAACATAACGTAAACGTTTCCCTAGCACACTTTTTGGCTCGACTTTCCGGCTCGTTTTGATTACTTGAACGTTCGCTTTGCCGCGTTATTTATTGTAATCGCATGTTTTCATTAAGAATTTCGCGCTAAACGTGCTGGACTTTTGTTTTATTTACGAACAGGCAGAACAAAGCGTAACATTAAATGACATCTGACTGGAAATTATATATTAAATTGGCTTTTGCAGTCACGTGTGCTGCGGCGCAGCCAATTGACTGTGTAAATAGTCGTAAATATTTAAGACGACGCCAAAGTTTCCTATGCAATAACACACACACACACACACACACACAAACACACATATATCTGGCAGCTGTATCTGTGCGGCTTGCGTGTATCTTGAGGATACTGCGGCAAGTCGACAAGTGGCAGACATTGTGCCACAACAAAAACAAAGACTTTTCAATCTTTGCAAAGTTAAAGGGGGCTGCCGTTGTTTTTGTTGTCTTTTAAATGGTTGGCCGTGAATCACAGACTACGCCGGAGCTAACAGACACAGACACAAGCATAAAGCCAGCCAGAGTTGGGTTAAATTTCATCGCTGGTTTTTGCGTTTTTTATGTGTGGATAATTTATTAAGTATTAGTCGCATCGCTTAGGAAGACATTTTCTATTATTAAAGCTGGCTTTGGGCATGCTGATGAGTAACATATAAAGGTAAATGCTTTCATATAAAAAGGGATTTTGCCAGCTTACAGTTGGCTCCAAAACAGGCTTGAAACAGGTTAAAGGTAGGCTTTACTTTTCTTTATTTAAAAGCAACAGTTTTAAGGCAGCTTTTAAACTAGGTCCAAGCAGATATTCAGTTTACTTTAACATGCATATTATTGTGTATGGATAGTAGACCCATTAGATTTTATTTAAAGACAGCTCTCAGCTGAAAAAAAAAATGGTTAGCTATGCATGCATTTGTCAAAGGAATTAATGAACAGCATTGTTCAATTAGTTTCCCGCACTCCAGCGACTCCGCAACCGCAATTAATTTCAATTGTTGTGACCTTGCTATTCCTGCTATGAATGTTTTTTTATATACGCATGTATACATATATTTTTGCTGTTTGGTTGTTGGCGGCACACGCGACCAACTCGCATTAAGAAGCTATTGTTTAGCGTAACTTATTGTTTTGCGGTTTGACATATGCAAAACCCTCACAGGGTCGCCTCCCTAGCACCGCAGAAGCGCTTTCAGGGCACTCGTTTAGCATGGGACATGGTTTATGTGGAGCACTTGACTGCAGCTTGTCACAATCAGACTAATGTATTTTATGGCTTCAAAACAACAACAACAACAACAACAGCAACAGCAACTAAAAACAAAATAAAAACAAATAGGTTACGAATATAACCTGCCAGGCAACGAAACCAAGTGATAAATGCGCTCAATTTCAAAACAAATTGCGGCAAAAAAAAAGAGAGAAAAAAAAAAAAATGAAAACAAGAAAACGGATGAGTAATTGGAAAGGGTTGCCAGTGGGAATTTATGATAAAAGTTTTTAGCATGCACATCCAAGTATTATATTTCAAATATTAACTATGACAATGCCCGTCGGTTCAGTTGAGGTGCAGCTATAAATATATTCTATAACAACGGGGTGAATAAAATAAGACAACCCTTAGACGCAACGCAATGTGCAACGGTGCGTATGATTAACATAAAATGGTCATATTACTCATACAGCGCGTTGTCCAGCTGATGCCCCGGAACGAAGGGCAATGAATAAAGAAATGATAAAATAAATATATATAAGTATATATATATTTATATTTAAATGCAAATATATAAGGCACTGTGGGCAACAGGAAGAGCTTAATTAAAGCGCTCATTTGGCTTGGAAAGGTGCCCCTGCTGCATTTATAGGCTCTCTTCTCTGACTCTTATTTACGGTTTTTGACTTTGCAACTATGGTAACTTTTAATTAAAATATGTAAAGGCCAGATTTGAAAGTCGGGTTTTTTCTATGCTTATGCCCGTCAAAATATAATTAAAATGAAACTTAAATTAACATAATTCCTAATTGAATTCCTGATTGGTGTTTTGGAGACAACTAATTCGGAACTTATTATTCACCATTATGGTTTTTTTTAATAATTATATTTAATAACGTAATTTCGTTAGGTCAACTTCAATACTTATGTGATTAATGTGTAATATGATCAAATTTTCGGCTCAATGCACCTCCTGCTAGCGAAATCCTTTGCACTGCGTCCTTTAACAGTTGTGTCACGTTTGCTTTAAAATATTTACTAACCACTTGAACGCAACAACTGTGAGCTGACCTTTTGACAGGAACAAGCATAAACAGAAACACTCTAAAACAGAGTCCTTCCCCGCCATCCTAGCCCGCACATATATACATATATATGTGTATGCACGTTGGAGTGCGTCTGCTTCCGCTCCAGAAACTTGGCTGTTGCAACGCGACGCAAAGGCCACTGCAGCAGAATAAACAAAAACAACAAGCAGAACAGCTTAATTGGATGCTCACCAGATTGTTGTTGCGCTTTATATTGGTGGACATGCGTCGATGAAATATGCGGGCCGGTTCCGTATCAATTTCCGACTCCGTCTCGGACTCATCACCATCCCGGCTGATCGATATGATCGGTATGATGGGCACCGGGGATACGCTGCCGGAGCTGCAGGCGCTGCTCAGCCCGCTGCTCGGGCTGCGCTGTCGCGGACTTAGGCTGTCTACGTGCAGCGTATTAGGTTTTAAGTTAGCCATTGTTCTGGCTTATCGCTAAGCTTTAACTAGTTGTTGTTGCTGTTGCTTTGTGAAAATTCCTTGGTATGCTGCAAGGCAAGTTTGACGTTGCACGTTGCACGTTTCCAGCGCTACGCTTTACGCTTTTAGCTGTCACGTTGCAGGAACAGCAGCGCGTTTTAGAGTTATATAAAGAAACCCTTTGTTGCGTAGCCGACATGTAGCCGCAGGTGGCCGTTGGAGCTGGTGCTGTCAGCGCTGCTGCTTTTCATGCTGCGCTGCTTATGTAAAAATCCAAAACACGCGCGTACACACACACACACACTCACACATAGTCCTGCAAGGCAACTCTCTCTCTCTCTCTCTCTCGCTCAACGGACAGACACAAGCATAGACTTTCTGATAGTAACTGACACGCCTTCCGTTATTTTTGACAGCTTGCTGCGCTGCATTAAAAATACGTTAATTTCAATTATGATCTTTATTAATTAGTCTAAGGTGTGTATAAATAAACACGCTTATCGCAATAACAATACATTTAGCAAAAATACTTTCACACCAACTTGTATATACGTATATTTGGTTAAAGTTTATATATATATATATATAGTAAATATTTAATTAAGCAACACTAACTATATTTGTTTTAATTGAAAAATGCCATTAATCTAACGCACACTCATATAGGTACACTTAGAAAAAACACTAGCAAAATCGTTTGTACACAAAAAATAGTTCACAGTTAACACATAGATATTAATTGAAAGGTTTTCAGTTTTGTTTTGTTCGTTAATAGAATGTACAAAAAGCGTTATAGCTCTGCCGCTGGAAATTATTGTTGAATTTTTGCTTCGCTTTAGAGCCTGTTCTATTCCGCTGGCTGGCCTGACTGCGAGCTGCGAGCTGCGAGTTGCGTGCTGAGCCTGAGCCTGAGCCACGCGGCGTACTGAACGAGTCGGCAACCCTCACTGCTGGCGGCCTAGCGAGCACGGCATGGTCTTTAGCCTGCTAGCATGGGCAGCCGTTGCCGTTATCCTGATAGGGTTGTCAGGCGGCATTTAATATGGCAATATCAAAATGATAATCATTTAAAATAATACATCTTAGATGAGCTGCAAGGTGCATTTTGCATTAAAACTGTGTTCATATAGGTTCTTAGCTTATGAAAAGATCATAAATGCAAGAAATGCAACAGAAAATGGTGTGCACATTATTCTTCAGAACATACTTTTGACACTTTTAGTACATACGGCAACTCTGTACCCTGAGAGCACAATAGCCTTCAACCAACAAGTTTTTGTGCTCTCTGCCTTTGCCGCAATTTTCTCGCAGGAAAACAGGCCCAGCCGCAGTTTAATTCTCTCTTATCCGCCAGCTCTCTTACACACACACACACACACACACGGCAGCTAGAAGCTTTAAAAGCGGCCGCTAAATGCGAAGCTCACATCCATGCAAATGAAGCGAGCAAAACAAAAATACGCAAGCGGAATAGTATGTACAGCATAGATAACAACAAAGTAAGCAATAAATCACCCATGCAAGAGAGAGACAGAGAGAGAGTGTGTGAGTCAAGCTATGGTGGTGCGGGTGAACAACAAGTCACAAGCCGCTAGGCAGACAGTTTTGGGGTTAGCTTTTTCTTCTTTTTGTTGTTCACTTTTCCGGTGTTGCGATTTGCCTGGGCTTTCGTTATTTACTTTGCTGTCGAGTTGCCTATGCTCATTGTTGACATTGTTATTGTTGTTGTTTTTGTTTTGAGACTTGCACATCCCGTCGGGCATTATACTTTACGCTTGCCTGCAGTTCCTTTAGGCCTCTGCAGCTAAAGCTACCTATATGCGTGTGCGTGTGTGTGTGTGTGTGTGTGTGTGTGTGCTCTGCTGCGTGAGTGTTTATATTAAATTTTTAAATGACGACATATTTGTTTTTCATTTGCGGCGGCTCTGTTTTTGAATGTCAAAAGCAGTAATACCCCAAAAAAAAAAAAAAGAAATATTTATTATTACACAAAGGAATTTATATGAAGGCTTAAATTATGTAGCTATCATGGTCAGTGCAGCTGTCAAAGACCCAATCATAACGATCCGCATTACATGTTTCATTTCTCATACCCTAAAGCACAATTAAAGTAAATAAGCCTTTGGAGAGTACTGTACCAAGAGCTCAACTTACACGTGGCATCGTGAGGCAGCGTCGAAAACGCATGCACCGCCTGCCCGGCTCCTCAGGATCGACCTGAGAGAACTCATAAAAGGTCGGGCTCAATAGAAGACCGCCCCAATCGCGGGGCAGGGGCACATCCTGCTCCCGATCACTTTTGAACAGTTTGGCGAAATACTCCATGATCCTGCCGCTTCTTTTGCTCGGTATGCCGTGCATGCTGAGCTGCACTTCGCGCGGATATCGGGCGAACTGCAGCTGTGCCTGCAGAGCGCACACGGGACTGACATGCCCGGCAATGTGTACACTGCGTTTCACGTGCGGCCAAAAGAACTGCAGCGACACATGAGGATTGTTGGTGATCTCGCCCGTCAGGCGACTGCCCAGCGTCGTATAGAATGTGAGCCCAGCGGCATTTATCTGCTCGACGTTGGTCATTCGCGTGACAGGCTGCCCGGCCATATCCACGGTGGCCAAACAGGCCGCCCGAGGCTCGCACCGTGATGCCTCGTTCAGAGCAACCGACAGCCAGTTTTGCAGTACGGCATACGGCTCCCGGATGGCGATGTTATTGGGACACTCGTGCAATTCTGGCGAAATTTCCGATGCAGCTCTGGTGGTCATCCTACGCATCGGCAATTCTTTGCGGCTGCGGGGTGCCAGCAAATGCATCGCAGCTGCGACACCCCGAAGCCTCTGTTTCAAAGCTGGGCCCAGCTTCATTTGAACAAAAATTTCGATACTCACATGCCGAATATGTAGAGAATTGTTTGAATTTTTAGTTATGAAAGCTGAGGAAGAGGTAGAGACAATGAGAGTTGATCCTCTCTTGAAACGAGAGCTCTTTGAATAGTTCGCCTAGGAACCTTGGTTTAATTAAAAGATTTATTAAGGATTTAAATGCTATCAATATACATATTACTAAGGCGCATTTAGCCATTGACAAATCTTGAAATGTTTAGTTTTTTCATTTCATTTGATTATTTTTCACTTTAATACAATCGACTCCTATATTTTGATTATTAATTCATCTATCGCATATTATTTTAGAATATAATTCAACTTTCTGTATAAACTATGGCTTCCTTACTAACTTTTGCCCGTGAACTTTCAAATCTTTTATAATCATGATATTTCAAATTTGTATATTACTCATTACCAAACATTCTGGAAGACATTACAAATGCGCAGCATCTACTATTCTTAGCTCTAGTTCTCCTTAGGGCGCCAAGCGCTCATAGACCCACCCGTTCTCCCCCTTGTGCACCAGCTGGTCATCGACCTCAGCGGCAACTCCGTCGCCACGTCGAAAGCGTATGCGATCGTGTAGGCGATCCGTTTGTCCCTGCCAGAACTCTATGACACTGGGTCGCACCAGGTAGCCGCCCCAGTTGGGCAGCGGCACCTCGCCATCGGCTCCCAGTTTTGCTTTAATGCCCGCCTCCACCTCATCCAGGTAGCTGCGCGAAGGAATGCGCTGACTCTGCGGACTGGCGGCGGCACCAATTTGACTCGCTCGCGGACGCTCGTGGAAGTACTTGAGGGATGCCTCGTGTGAAATCTTTTCGGCGATGCCCTCAATGCGTACGCTGCGACGCAGGGGCATCCAGTAGATGGCAATGGCCACATTTGCATTGCAGGCAATATCCTCCGCCTTGCGGCTGCCGTAGTTGGTGAAGAATGTGAAGCCCTCGGCGCAGGCCTCCTTGATGAGCACAAAACGATTGGAGGGTTTGCCGGACGCGTCCACCGTGGCCAAGGCAGCGGCATTTGGCTCGATGATCTCTTTGGTATTTAGGGCGACATCCAGCCAGTCGCGAAATAGGCAAAACGGATCCTTTACCTTGATGTTCTGCTCCAGAAAGGCATCCTTGCGCTCGTTATATTTCATGCGCAGCGCTAAAATATACATTATTATATATTCATTTCAAAGAGTTTGCGGCCAATCGAGGTCTCACCCGAAAGTTGATCAATGGAAGCCGCTTGACTCATCTTGCGCACAATTTGCAGCAGTCTCACTATGGTTTGAGTTGTGCAAAAGTTAATAGGCGTTGGTTTTATTTAAAGCAACCGCAACGTACTTATCGAAGGTCAAATTAAACTGAAGCACTTTGTTGATTATTGCACTGCAATCTTGCGACACGATGCGATATGAGTAAAACAGCTGTTTACAGCAGGCGACAGCGCTGCCACACTGTTGAATTTGGTTGCTTGAAATGTGCTAAAAAATACCAAAACTCACTTCTGTGCAACTGTTGTGTAAAGGCAACTGCCGCTCCGCGCTAAGCCTAAAAGTACACCATAAATATTTGATTGTACATTTTTTAAATATTAACTGCCAGATAAATTAATAATTAATATATATTTGTTCACATAATTTGACAGCTCTGCCAAAGAGTGATAAATAAACCGCCAAGCCGTGAACAAAAGTAAAGCATATATGTTCTTGCGCGCGCGTATATGTGTTGAGTGTGTGCATGTGTGTGAGAGAGAGTGCGAGAGCGCATATGTCTATGCTAAGGTGTTGTTGTGTTTGCTGCTACTTCCTCAGTTGGCTTAAGTCCTATCTGCCTTTCGAATACGAACAGAGAACAGAACAACTTCAACACGAGCGGCTGCTGGACGTGTGCGAAAGTAAAGCGCATAGAGTGCGAAACGCAAGCGAGAATATATAGAGAAAGGCTAAAGCGGGGCATACACACAAACACACAAACACTCAAACACACACACACACCCACATAAGTAGAAATTAATGATACACAAATAAGTTGAATGCGAAAAAGCAAAAAATTGAAAGCCTAACTCAATAACAGTAATTTATAGTAAGGCTTGTTGTTTGGATTGTGCGTAAAAAGGTTTTGCGATTTTGTGCAACAATAAAGTAGGTTAAATACGAAAGCTTTTCGAAAATTAATTCTTTGGAGGTCGCTCGTAAAAGCGTTATTTAGTAGTGAAAAAAGCGTTGCAGACGTCGGCTGCATGTGTGTATGCGGCGGGGCAGCAGTGAAAAAATGCAGTGCAGCAGCAAAAACAAAAACGAAGCAAAGCAAATGGCTTGATAGGCGACTAAATATATAAAAATTTCAATTCAATTGAAAGATAACCAAAAACGAACGTGATATTTTATACCTGTGGCCTGTTTTTAAGCATAGCCAAAAACACACTCACAAGGACACACTAGAACACACATACACAAGCGACACACACGAACACACACGCAAACTATATAGCAATATATGCCCATTGAGTGCCTTATATCATTTGATAATAATCCACAAGGTGTCTACTATGCCGGACAGGAGCTATCTGGCGTTGTTGATCTTAGCGTCGATGCCACCAAGCGCATTAAAGGTAAGCAGAGAGCAAATACCCTACTCTAACCTAACCTACCCTAACCCACTCCTCTCCTTACTTCACATACACAGACACAGACACACACACACACGTGACTCACACGACTTCTGGGTAATGTGCCGCTTGTGTCGTGTTCACATTTTACATTTGCACTAAAAAAACCCATTTGAATTGTCGAAGGACACGCGCTGATGTCCTTATTAAATTGTATCTCTCAGCGGTCAAACATCAAACCTAACCTCACATATAATTGTCGCCATTTTGAATGTGCTATGCAATTAATGGTTGTTGTTGTTGTTGTTGATGTTGTTGCCATCGCTGCTGTCGCATGTCCCTGCTGAGTTGAGTCGTTGAGCTCGTTACCGTTATTTGCCCGTTGCACAGTTAGTTATTTGCCGCTCTCCCTTTAGTTTCGTTTATGTTGTTGTTGTTGTTGTTGTCATTTTGTGTGGCGTCTGTTTTGGCATGCCGCCATTTTTCATTTATCCATGAACTCGTTAAAGGCGTGGTAAGTGCAATCCATTTGTTGTTGTTGTTGTTGCAGATGATGACGATAAAGTTGTCCGTGTGCATTTTAATTTTGTGGTAATAAGTTTTGTCGTCTGACATTTCAGTTGATTAGTTTGCTGAAAGGGCCACTTAGGAGCAATGGAAATTAACGAAAACTTCATTTAGCAGAAAATAAACTTGATTAAATACTAAGAGCTACGAAAGTACACCAATATTTAGTTTGTCTCTGATATTATTTTGGTTATAATTATTATATGAACGTAGATTATGAAGAAAATCGAACTTTATTAATTGAGGGCCATTTGAGTAAGTGCATTATTTTTGTAGAATCATTTATTCAATTCAAACAGTTGTCCTTCTTCCTCTATTTTTACAGAGCCAAGATAAAATAAATAAAAATATATTTTTGAATATCCCAAAATGCATTTCCCCTCATTTTTCTTTAAAAACAAACATTCACTCTGCATTCTTCATTCCTTTCAGAATTACATACTCTATAAATTAAATACATACTATCTCAGAATTCAAAGCCTACATAAACGTCAACTCTTCAAAATAACGCACATGTCGTTCATGGTAACTCACACATTACTTTGTTATTATCACTATTAATATTAATATATAATATATATATATTATATGCATATTATACATTTAGTAAAAAAAATAAGTTTTTCATTTGTTAAAATGTTCTTTCCAACTTGTTATATTCTTTAAACAATACAATTAGTCTTTATATTCAATTTGCATCTCTTTAATTCTCTCCCTCTTTAACTCTCTTTCTTTCTTTCTCTCTCTCACTTCAGGCATTCATGTCACCGTCAGCGGTTATGCCAAGATACGCTGGATAAAAAAGGGATATCCGCGGGACAGCGAACGCGCCATGTGCCGTGCCTATCGATCGTATCTATCATCGAGATCGTATGTCCTTGGCTCGTGTGCGGGCAACTCGTGCATCGATTGGCTGGCCGGCGAATATTCGTACACGTTTCATGTCATACTGCCCGACAATCTGCCCACATCCTTTGATGGCAAATATGGCCAGATACATTATGAGATTATAACGACGATCGAACGATCGGGTCGCTACCCGAAGGTGTTTAAGCTGCCATTTACCGTGATACAACCGTTGGATCTGAATGCAGATGCTATTTACAGGGTAAGCCACTCCCGAACTAAATGTTCCTCAGCTTTACAAGTGAAATATTTGAAAAGGTGCCGCTGGAGATACTCGATCGCAAGCGCTTCTGGAGCTTTTGCTGCCCAACCGGGCCACTGACGGTCAAATTTTCAACACCCTATTGCGGCTATGCGCCCGGCCAGAAGATACATTTTGTGCTGTACATCAACAACGAGTCGTCGATCGATATAACCGAATGCGAAGTTAAGCTGAAGCAGGAGGTTAGCTATGAATCGCACGATCCGCAGCACGAGTATCGCTACGATAAGCATCTGATAGCTTTAAAGCAGTTCGGCAACGTGTTGCGCTGGTCGAGAAAAGTCTACAGGGGATATTTGGATCTGCCCTCGATACCGCCGACATCGGTGAAGCCGACCTGCCCCATTAGCGTTAACTATTCGATTAAGATCATTGTGAATCCAACCGAATTCCATTGGAAGCTGAAACTCAAAATACCGCTGACCATCGGCAGCATACCCATCATGGATGGACCCGATGCCCTGATGCGTTTCAATCGACGGCAGCAGCAGCATCAAGTAGTTAGCCAACATTTTCAAATGTCAACGCAGCAGAACCAAAGGCAACCACCACAGCAGCGAAGCCAACCAAACAGCAGCAGCAGTGGCAACAACAACATCAACAGCAACAATCAGGCAACACAGGCCATGCAACGCTCGGGTGCAACACTGCCGGCCCAAACGAGTCCTTCATCAACGCCAACGACTGCCGCCCTGAGGCCCATGGCCGCCATGCCAGCAATATTAGTGACCAGCGATAGCGATAGTCCCCCAGATTATATACCCATGAGTAAGACAAACAAACTCGAATAGCTATATAAGACCCAATAGATACTTAGAAAAAATGGTGGCAAAAGAAAGCTTTAGTCTAGCTTGATTCGATTATCCGATTGTTCCCAGGGAAGCTTTATGATAAAGAAATCTGTAATCGATAAATATTTTATAAAAAAAGAATCTAGTTTCCGACGTTTATGTTTAAGAACTTTTAACAAAAAAGTATTGCCAAGAGTCAAGTTGTAGAAAATCCGTTAGAAAAACCTTTGCACAAATTACCATATATCATAATTGTCTAATATTGATCTTTTTTCGTTAATTGCAGTGCCGCCCTCGTACGAAGATGCCATGGCTCTGAGCGAAAAATTTAGCGATGATATTGAATTCCTCACAAATGTTAGCATGAGCAGCATTATGTCCGCTCAGGGCGATGTAACAAGTGAGCGTGAGCCCTTTAAACCGCGTTACCCGGTCTATTACGATTATGAGACACCGACCATACCGCCCGGTAGTGATGATTCCACTGAATCCGACACATAAACCCAAATTGTTACAAAGAACTGTTGCAAAAAAAGAAAAAAGAAAAAAAACGCAAAAAAAAATGAATAACTCAAAAGCAAAGCAAAACTAAACAAATTGAATGGCTGAGTGGCATTTTATTCAAATTAATTTCTTTTATTCCCTTCCATCTCAAAGTAGTTAGATCAAATATTTCTATAAGCTTAAGAACTGCAAAGTGTTGGGTTTCGATTTTGAGTAGTTAAATGAAAAACCAAACAAGATGCCTTATCGCTGTCCGATTGTTATAAAGTTTTTTAATTAAATTTAAACTGCAAGTGCCTGATACTAATTATAGCTCCAGATGTCCGCTTTAAAAACAACAAACTAATTTTAAGAATTTTATAAACAATTTTTATACACACAATATACGTAGTCGAAGATCCAGTATCTTTAAAGTCAGTACATTTTGGTATAAGAAAATATAGAAATTAATATTTGAATTAGCTAAAATTTTACAGATTTCCGAAGTCTGGTTTTTGAACTCTATGCTGTGTATATAAATCTTATGCATCTGCTTATACATCATATATATATATATATATATATACATTCCTTATCTGTTTTATCTGCTTCCATTCTAACCAAATTCTAGTTGTGTATTTTCGTGCGTTCCGATTTTCACATCTTCATATGAATCAAATCTCAATGCTTTGCAGTGCATATTGAATAACTTTTAATTCCTTTGAATTTAATTTTAAATTGCACGTCAAAAGAAAGCAAATCGCATATTCACACTAAGTATGTATGCTCCATTGTATCTTTTATTCATTAAACTTTTGAGAAATTTAACTTAAATATATATATACATATATAAAATAAAATATATATATCATATAAATCATATATTAAAATGGATGTAATTTGTGCTTAGCAATTAAGTTTACAAAATTATTTTGGTAGCCAATAAGTGTTTGTCATAGCTTTATTCACTTGAATTAATTAGTTTGCATTTTTCTGGAAACAACTTTCTTCTAGTTGTAAGCCAAACCGAAGGGTCTCACAAATATACTTAAATTGTAAATTTATTCTCTTGTTACCGCTCCCTCCCCCCCTTCCCAAAAATACATGCAACATTTTGCCTGATTTCGACAACGAACAGAGACTCTCTACAGTGAAACCTCGAATACACAACTTCGCTGTGGAGTGCAGCAGGAAGGGGTCTTGGCAACGGATGCAAATGGACCGAATACCCAAGGAACTGCTGAGCCATTGAACTATGAGAAGAAATAATTGAAGAGCAGCAACAACAATTTACATATTTAATCGAAAATCAAAAATAATCTCGGAAATACATTTAAAATTCATGATCTGATGAAATTCGTTTAACAGCATAATACAATAGATATATTTGCAAAATAACAATTATTCATCTAGTAGAGCGCATAAATTAATCGTAATCTATTTAACAAATTTAAAGTCTATTTGAAACTATTGTTATTTTGTATAGTTTTTTTTGTTTCAAAATTATTTGTCCATTTGTTTTGCGTAAATTTCTTCCTATTTTCAACTTTTAAGGAATCATCTTGAAACAGATTTAAAATTAATTTCAATTTATTTTGTATTCTTATGGCTGAAACTTTAAGAAAGAAAAATGAATAAAAATTGTACGGCATCATATGATAATTACTATAAAAAATAATCACCGTAGTCAAACCCTACTTAGACAAACTTTTTAGGCTTAAGCAAAGTATATAACAATTTGCACAATTTTACCAACAACAAAAACAACAACAACTTAACATTTTCAATGTTTACAATGACTATGAAAAACTATACACAACACTTAAATTTACTAAATGAGAAAATTATATTTCAATTTGTATTGATTTTTGTCCAATCCTAACTAATTAAATATACTAAAATTGTACGTAAATTTATCGTATATATCTTGATTTAGTTCATTTTGCAACTACTTCTATGAAAATTGTTTACGAACTCCTGTGTACTTCCTCTAATTTGTAACCAGTCTAACCAGTAATACGCTTAAGAAATACTCTGTCTTCAATTAATTCAAATTAAACCAAAAATAAATATATATATATATATTATTATGTGTATATCCAAATTGAAGTGTGTTTAAATTTTTTCGTCTTTTTTATTATTATTTGGTAACAAAAACGAAACTCATTTTATGGGAGCTCAATGAACTGTTTCAGACTGGATTTGGTTGGTTTTCGGTTTGGTAAGTAAAGTGCTTGCTTTAAAATAAATACAAACAAATAATAATTGCTTACGTTTTTCGCATACCAAGGAGTTCAATTCAAATATGATAACAAGCTCGTTGCTTTACTTAAATAAACGTTAGTACTTTCGCGATGTTGTACTCACTTTGAAATATATTTGTAGATGGGGTATTATAAGACGTTGTTAGTGTATGACACAGCAGACAACTTAGATCGTAAGATCAAAAAGATATATATTTTTAGGCTGCAATACGTATGGCGATGTTCTCTTATCCAAATAATCCAATTATCTTAGGTTCTATAAGCTGACTTTTCAGCGCTTAAGCTGAACTAAAGAAAACTAAAACTTGAGCTAAGAAAAAACAAATAGTTTTAGTTATTTTTAGCAGCTGTTCAACCATAATAAAAATAGCCATATATAGGAGTCTGGCGGAAGTCTAGAACTTTTAAAGCTAGAGCTATCAAACTCGGCTTTTGGGTTCCCTAGGCAAAGAATACTTAAAGATCATTTATTATATTTTTTTTTACATCTCAGAAAGTAATTAAAAATATATTGCATTCAATTTAATTTAAGCTTATTGCTGAGTCTGAAACAAAATCTGTTTTACTTTGACTCAGAAAATCATTTAAAATATATGTTATTCAATTATTATTTATCTTAAGGGCATGCACAAAGTATTTCTTGGTCTTAAAAGAAAGAACTTCAAGTCTTAATATAATAAAATATTTAATATTTAGAGTGCGAATAGAGTTTATATATATTTATACTTTTATATAAATTTGTTATACTTTTGTTTTACTTTTAATTTGTTATACTTTCATAAACTGATTGAAAATATATTGTTTTCAATAAAATATAATTTTTAGGGCGTGTGTAGAGTATGATTAAGTTTAAGGCAACATTTTTTTTTTCTTTTAAAGCGCATTAGATACCAATTAAAAATATTTTACAGAGTATTCCAAAGTCCTAAATAGTATTTATTATTCTTTTAAATATATTGTAATGTTGTGTTCAATCAAATTTAATTTCAGGCCGTGTACAGAGTATCGCTTAGTCTGTAAAACTCATCTAGGACACTTATGTACATATGAGAGCGACTATTACCGCATAAAATAGCTATTAACTTTTAAAATCTCAAGCACTTTGCAGACTTTCTTTTTGTATCAATCTTTTCATGTAATTCTGCGTTATGTAGCAAGTGGTCGTCGGAGAAATTCCTTTTTGTTTTTCGTGAAAAACAGGCGCAAAACTATTAGAACCCGTTTGCTTAGCCGCATTCAGGTTGGCAACGCAACAGGTTGTTGTACAACTTCAACCAGAGACTTGGTCTAATCTCCAGTGAAATAATAATAATAAAAAAACAGTATACTTATACTTATAAATAAAAGTCGGCGATCTTAGGCGCTGTCGTAAACTGAATTTATCTTTATATCGCGGCAAGAACAGATTTCGAAAACAATTGAAGCAAAAAGTGTGCAACAGTTGTTGTCGTGATTGTTGTTCGAGTCATTGTCATTCTCGCTGTCAATTGCGTGGCGTCTGTCGAGCGGATCGCACTTGAATTTGATCGCGTGCCGCGAAATAGTCAATTTGAAGTCAATTTGTTGTGAATACCCTGTAATTTTGAGAATAATGCACATCGATTGTCAATTTAATTTGTCGCGCGCTTCGGCGGTTTATTACACTGGCGAACAAGTTTCGGGCTCGATTGCGTTTAGCGCCAGCAAGAAGGCGCTGCAGCTGGAGGGTGAGTTGACTTCTGTCAATTGTCAAATGGCATTTTTGTGTTTTTCGGCATTTGGTACAGGCAACTGATTAGATTTGATAACATTTGCCCCCCCAACCCATATCCAGCTGTCAGCATCGGCTTGATTTGCCGCAGCGCAGTCAGCTGGCGGGAGGCAGACCCGAGCTTGCCACTCATCGAGCACAATGATAGCACAGCGGCCACTGAGCCCGGCCACATCAGCTATGTGGCAAACAAGTTGCACTTGCAGCAGACGCAACAACTGTTGCAGACACTCAGCCTGCCACCAGGCGGCACACAGCGCTGCAGCTTTCAATTCGAGCTGCCACACGACTTGCCGGGCAGCTGCCGCCTGCCACTGGGCGCGACTGACTACATGCTGCACGTGACGCTGCAACGTCGTGGCAAGCATGACAAGCATTTTGCGCAGCGCTTGTGCATTAGAAAACGCATCGAACTGGTCGACTTGCTGCCTGCGAGCAGCGCAAGTGCCACACTGCGGCTCAGCTTGCCGCGCAGCGTGTTTGCGCCCGGTCAACGTGTTGCCTATCAGCTGGATGCCACTGTGCCTGCCACATGCCGAACCCGTCTCCTGCAATCGATTACCTATCAAAGCCAACAGCCCGTGGCCAAGGCGAAGCGTGTACTGCGCGCGCTAGACGAGAGCTGCGCCCTGGCCGCTGCACTGCATCTGCCGCTGACGGCGCCCATTATGAGTCAGCTGCCTGGCGAGCCCATTGAGATCGCCTACTATTTGGAGGCATGGAGCAGCTGCAGCGAGCCTCTCCGATTGCCCTTGCTGGTGGGCACTGTGGCGCCACCTGTTGACGTCATAGCCAGTCCAACGGATGGTCCTTCGCTTGGTTTTGTTAACTTGGGTAAGTGTGCACAAACTTAATGCTCTTACAGAGGGTCACGCAATTTAGTTACTCACTTTGGTGCATTAATCTATAATTGTACAACTTATTGCTTCTAAATTGTAAGGATCGACTAGCTAAGGTGATCTTAACGTATCGTATATTTTCCATTCTTAAACATTTATTTGTAAGAGCATTCACTATACGGCACTAGCAACTATTTTATTTCTCATTATTTGTATTAATTTATCGACAAGTTTTCCCTATAATTGTGTATTTGTAAGGGTATTTAATCTTCGCCAGCCGCATTATAACTTTTCCTTATTGTTTATTATAATTTTGCAGCTTTGTGTGAAAATGATTTACTTATTTCATCCATCAATCAGCTGCTGCCCCACAGCTGTTCCAGAGAATTGAACGCCCCGAGCATTGCCAGGCACGGGGAACACCTCAAATTGCTGCGGCGCCAAAAGAAACAGTCGTACGTGAGCTTAGCTTTGCGGTTTTTCTATAAAAACATGTTGCCCACAAATAATCGTCATTGTTGGGAACTCGAGGTATCCAATTAACATAAATATGTACGTGCAGGTCTTTAAATAATTTTAAATGTTTGTCCAGTTTTAATGTGAAATGGTCTGATCCGATTGAGAATGCTTTCGTCTGATATAATACTATCTGGCACCTATCGTATATTAAGTCTTAAAAGCCAATCGAGTTAATATCTGAAAAAAAAATGTTAATATACTATCAGGTCTTGCTAAGTATATTACGAAAGAAAGGCACAGAGCTTTATGAATACAAAACAATAATTATTTTATTCAATCTCAATGATATTTGAAGAATTCTCAAAAAAACTAGACTTAAAAAAAAATATATATATGTATATGTTGATTTGAATACAAATAGGAGAAATGTTTGAAATTTTTTAAATATTTTTTTAATATTTCCTTTAAAGACTAATTAAATTATTTAACTTGTTTAATCATGAATCCTAAAATTGCATTTAATTACTATTTAAAGTATTTAATTAAAATAATACACTTGCGAACTTTCAAATATTCCTTGCTTGTGTAAAAGCTGATAGACCCTAATGAACTCAAAAATTGGTATAATAAACATATTGTAAAGAATAATAATAATCATTATTAATTATTTTTTAATTATTTAAAAACTAATTTCAATTAATTATTTTTCTTTTGCATTTGGTGCTTTATATATTCGTATGAATTAGTTGTTGTATATATTAATAATAAAAAAACCATAATAATACTAATAATAATTATTATAATTATAATGACAATAATAATGATAACAGAAATAATAATAATAACAATAATAATAAAAATAATAATAATAATAATAATAATAATAATAATAATAATAATAATAATAATAATAATAATAATAATAATAATAATAATAATAATAATAATAATAATAATAATAATA